GGATTTAACGTTCCCAACAGTATCCATCACAAGCTGATAGAATATAAAACATTTCTGACATCAATGAACTCTCTGTATTGCTTAGTATTTATTCATTTGTTCTCAGTTATTTAAAAAAAAGTAACTTCAAAATGAATATATATGTAAGAACAGGTTATCTCAAACTGGCATATTTTCAGAGTTTTTATCTGACCTAGTATTCGGTACCAGGAAATCGTGACGTGGAGGAGCCACTCACGAAAAAAAATGCGACGATTGAAGAGAATGATTCACTTATCCTCCACACTAAATCAAAATGATATATCCGTACATCACCCTTTAAATAATTTGTTGAGCCCCATTCGAATGTCCACGGAATTGCTGATGTCGTACTGTAGTGAAAGAGAACACAGGTGGGGCAACCGAATTGTATTTAACGAAAATTATAGAGTTGCTCAGTAAAATCGGAAACCATATCGTAAATCGTTCATTTACAAAATAACAGTTCATCATATCGAACTGGACTGTTCCTGTTGCAAAACATCAATCCATTGTCACTATCCATGCGTTTTATACAAATTCCATTGTGTTCTAACTCTTCCTTTCTTGATCTTCCCCCATTTTCGGCTGCCAGACATTACGTTGACGCCCACGTCATATACTACTTATAAGTAGCTCGCACCACAGCACCACAATACTAGTGAATTTTTCTAATCATGTAATCGCTTCAAAATAAATAATGCCAAATAGTTACTTCGTCCAGATTTGAGTCTCTTAAGTAGTTGAAACCGACTTACATCAAATGAAATTCAAAATTGTCCATCATTTAACATAATACTTTTAAATGTTACACATTCCAATAGAATCAGTTCAATATCAGCTGATATTAACCATCTCTAATGAAATATTTTGTCAATCATAATTAAATTTCATTAATTACAGCTTTTCACTAAAAGCCTAATAATAAAAATAATTGTGTCTGACAATTAATTACACAAATTAACTAAAATCTAATTACAAGTTAGAAGTTTTTTTTTTTATCTGACAAACGTCTAGGTAATGAAATTTTGAATGACTCTAATCTGGTTACATGTTTCTGTGTACTTTTCAGTAAAATGTGAACGGAACGGTTATACCATAAAATTGTGACGCATAAAATTGACATAACACGTTTATCAAACGGTGGGAAACATCTAATTATATTGCTCTAATGAATTTCAATTTAGTGAAGAGGATTTGTAGAGATTATCATGGAAATCACGAAATGTACTAAGCTAGACTATGATTATCAGCACTGGATGACCTAT